GCAATAATAAAAATAGTGCAAATAATACCGTATGCTCTTTATCAGATGTACCAACTTTGAACACTTAACCGCCATATTCTTTATCATTTTCATATTTCTTTTTTCTCTCTGTCTCTCTCTTTCTTTTCTCACCTACTTACAATAAAATTAATTTTTAAAATTTATCGTTATGGATTTAAGATGATTTGAAAAATGAAGCAAGAAAAAATTTAATCTTTAAAAAATAGGCAGGAAACCTAAAGAGTTTAGCTGAGTGGATAGAGCACCAGCATGTGGACTGAAGGGTCCCGAGTTTGATTTCGGTCAAGGGCACATGCGTGGGTTGCAGACTGAAAACCCAGCAGGGGACTGCAGGAGACAGCCAATCAATAATTTTCTGTCATCATTGATGTTTCTATATCTCCCTCTCCCTTCCTCTCTGAAATCAATAAAAATATATCTTAAAAATAAATAAATAAATAAATAAATAAATAAATAAATAAATAGTAAATAATAGGCAGGAAATATTAATTTCAAGCTACCACCATCATCCGTACTTTTCCTTCTTTAACCAAGGATTTAAATCTGTAAGGAACAGGTGTTGCAAGGATGAGGTGAGTAATTACAAGCAGAGGAGTTGATCCCTGGACATTGAGTCTCCGGATACAGACTCTGTCACACAGTATCACATCATGGGGATGGAGGATGGTGCTCAACATGGAGTAGTGTGCCTCTCTGACTGTCACATGATAACCTATAAGCATAGTCATGAAGGAAAATCAACCCTATGATTTCCAGGGCTTAGTTCTAAATGAGGACTCTCTTATCCCTCAAGGTTTACAGGTTCTAAATTAATCAGTTCAGGACCCCCTAGAATTCTAATAGTGTCCATAAACATCACAAATTTACCTGGCTCCTCCATTCCGAATTTTGTTGTACCCTGCCCAAACTGAAAATGGTAGAAGGTTCATTAACCCAGATTAGGAGAGTGTGACTGCTCTCTCCTCTCTGCTGGGTCCCAGGATGATGATCCCGCCCTGGCTGTGATCACCTATGTGGGGCTGAGCCTCTCTCTGCTGTGCCTCCTCCTGGCGGCCCTCACCTTCCTGCTGTGCAAAGCCATCCAGAACACCAGCACCTCACTCCACCTGCAGCTCTCACTCTGCCTCTTCCTGGCCCACCTGCTCTTCCTCACGGCCATCGACAGAACTGAGCCTAAGGTACCGACATTGTCCCAAACGATGCATGCCCTGACCATGCAATGAGGAATACATGGGCTCATATTGCATTGGACACCTTAATAAAATAACTTTGGGTCTGGGGAAGGTTAGAGGGGTGAGTAGCCAATTTCACATTGACCCAACTAGAAATCATACCTCCTTCTTTTTTTTCTTTTTTTAATATATTTTTATTGATTTCAGTGAAGAAGGTAGAAGGAGAGAGAGATAGAAACATCAATGCTGAGAGACAATCATTGATTGGCTGCCTCCTGCATGCCCCCAACTGGGGATTGGACCTACAAACCAGGCATGTAACCTTGACTGGAATCGAACCTCGGACCCTTCAGTCTGCAGGCTGATGCTCTATCCACTGAACCAAAGCGGCCAGGGCAATCACACCTTCTTTTGAAAATTCCTTCAAATTCAACAGAGTTCTCCCAAATGGCAAGGTATAGGAGATGTCCTGGGGCCATGGTCCACTCTGACAATCCCACCTGGTGACTCTCACTTCTCCCCCAGGTGCTGTGTGCCATGATCGCGGGTGCCTTACACTATCTCTACCTGGCCTCCTTCACCTGGATGCTGCTGGAGGGCCTGCACCTCTTCCTCACTGCACGCAACCTGACGGTGGTCAACTACTCCAGTGTGAGCAGGTTCATGAAGAAGTTCATGCTCCCTGTGGGCTACGGAGTCCCAGCTCTGATTGTGGCCATTTCTGCAGTATCCAGGCCTCACTTGTATGGAACACCTGCCCGGTAAGAGCAAATTCCCATTTCTTTATCTGTGAGATGGGTGGGATTGAAGACCATGTTTACTTTCTTCATGACAGTATCTTCAGAGACAACCACAGAGCCTATCACAGAAGAGACACTCAATGTGTGTTGATGAATAAATTAATGAACGAATTGGCATAATTGTTCTACATTTTTAAGTACCAATGCATTTTTAATTTTCTCTCTTTCTTAGCTGCTGGCTCCACCCAGAAAAGGGATTTATATGGGGCTTCCTTGGACCAGTCTGCGCCATCCTCTTTGTGAGTGAAGACATCAGAGCATCCTTAACGCTCAGCTGAGGGTCATTAGAATTATAAGGAGGCAAGAGGATGACATGAGCAAGAATGTTCCTGGGTTGTCTTGGGTTTGCTTTGGTTTTCCAAGACTCTTCCTAAAACTACAAGCTCTAACACTGTAACTAAATATAAAAACTACTTAAGTGTACAATTGCTGTTGGACAGGCTAGACTAGAGATAACAAACTAAAATTTTATTCACTAAACCTTGTGTGTTTTCCTGAAGGTCAATCTAGCTTTCTTTCTGATGACCCTCTGGATTTTGAAAAGCAAACTCTCTTCACTCAACAGTGATGTGTCCACCCTCAAGAATACAAGGTAAAATGGAGAAGAGGGTGACAACCCCACAGACATGTGTGGTCCCAAGAGCAAATCCATGTGCCTCAGCATCCCTGACATCCCTTCTCTGGGTCTTCTGAGGGAACCCAGAGTAAAGAGATGCAGCTGACCTCCAATGGCAGCCAGCTTGGATTCAGTGGTGGGCTTCTGACTTCCCAGCCACAGGGTTCTGTCTCTAATCCCATCTTGTAACTCCCTCAGCAACAGAGAGAATTGACACTGGTTGATAAACACTATTTGGACTTTTGTCAGCAGTCCTACAGCAAAAGTGCAAAGAACCTGTGTTCATTTAGAAAAATCTGTGACTCCTCCCACAACCCAGTCTACACTTCCATACCCACTCTCAGTCAGGCTCCTTCTCACCCCTCTCCAGTGTCCTTTCTACATTTTGCATGTCATTATTCGGTTGTATTTGTCATTGGAATTGCCTGTGTCATTTATGAAAATAGAAATCGTGCCTCTGTTACTTTCACTGCCCAGGCCCCAGCACACATCCTGTTGCACAGAACACACTTGAGAATGTTAGTTAGATAAAATTAGGAATCACCATGGAGCATTATAGAATTTTTTTTAAAACTTACATTATGAAGTGTCACAACCTACTCAATTCAATCAAAATGCCATCCTGGACCCAAGTAGCATTTATATTGTGGAGAACCATTGATGGTAAAGGTCAAAGTTGATCACAAGTCTGTCTGTGATCTCATCACCCACAGGGGAAGGCGGGAGCATTCATTGGGTGGAGATGAGAATGTCCTTGATTCTGTTGCTCTGGGTGCTCCATGGGCCTCTCTTCTCCTCCTACCAAGGATGCTGACATTTAAAGCGATAGCTCAACTCTTCATCTTGGGCTGCACGTGGTGTCTGGGAATCCTGCAGGTGGGTCCAGCTGCTCATGCCATGGCCTATCTCTTCACCATCATCAACAGCCTGCAGGGCGTCTTCATCTTCCTGGTGTACTGTCTCCTCAGTCAGCAGGTACCACTGTCCACCTCCCACCCAGGACTCTTTCCACTCTCACTCCTCTCAGTGAGCTGACTCAGAGCATGCTTTGCCTCTGTAGGTCCGGAAGCAATACAGGAAATGGTGGAAAGGGGTCAGGAAAACCAAAGCAGAATCTGAGCAATACACCCTCTCCAGCAGAGCCATGTCGGACGCCACTAAACACAGTGAGGTAAGGTCATGCATTGCTCCCAGAGCACTTCACTAACTGATAGAGTACCTCATGCCAACACACTGGACGACCTGGGTGTATAGCAGGAGATGCCCTAGGATGGCTCCCACTGAATTTACTCTTTGATTCCTTACCCATTAGCAATGGTCTCAGTTAGAAAATATATAAGTTGCTCTTACTCCTGAGGAACTGTGTTCATCTTGACTTTTGCACATTAGCACGCTTTTTTAAATAAAATTATCCTTAGTTGTATTTAAAATATATGATATCATTTTAGGCTTACAAATATTGACCTTGTACATTAAATCATACAGATATGTACATATTTCTCCTTTCTCTGATTGATATTATTTTAAAGTATCATATGTCTTAAATTTCATATTTTTTTAATTCTTTATTGTTTAAAGTATTACATGAGTCTCCTTTTTTCCTCAATTTACCTCTCCCTCACCATCCCATCACCCAAGCATAAGCTCTCACACCCCTCCTCTCTGTGTCCACTGGTTTTACTCATATGCATGCATATAATCCTTTGGTTGATCTCTTACCTCCACATCCCCTGCCTTCCCCCATAGGTTGGGCAGTCTATTCGATAGTACTGTGTCTCTGGTTCTATTTTTGTTCATCAGTTTATGTTGTTCATTATATTCCACAAATGAGTGAGATCATGTGATATTTATCTTTCTCTGACTGGCTTATTTTGCTTAGCATAATATTCTCTGGTTCCATCCATGCTGCTGCAAATGGTAAGAATTCCTTTTTTTACAGAAGCATAGAATTCCATTTGTAGATGTACCACAGTTTTCTAATCCACTTGTCTGCTTATGAGCACTTAGGCTGTTTCCAAATTTTAGCTATTGTAAATTGTGCTGCTATGAACATAGGGGTACATATATCCTTTCTGATTGGTGTTTCTGTTTTCTTGGGATACATCTCTAGGAGTGGGATTACTGGGTCAAATGGAAGTTCCATTTTTAATTTTTTGAGGAAATGCCATACTGTTTTCCACAATGGTTGCACCAGTCTTCATTCCCATCAGCAGTGCACGAGGGTTTCTTTTTCTCTCCGCATTCTCTCCAGCACTTGTTATTTGTTGATTTGTTGATGATAGCTATTCTGACAGGTGTGAGATGATACCTCACTGTTGTTTTGATTTAGATCTCCCATATGATTAGTGACTTTGAGCATGTTTTCACATGTCTCTTGGTGTTCTGTATGTCCTCTTTCAAAAGTGTCTATTTAGGTCCTTTGACCATTTTTTATTGGATTATTTATCTTCCTTTTGTTAAGTTTATGAGTTTTTGTAAATTTTGGAGATTGAACCCTTATCGGTGATAACATTTGCAAATATGTTCTCCCATGCAGTGGGCTTTCTTGTTGTTTTGTTGATAGTTTCTTTTGCTGTGCAGAAACTTATTATTTTGATGTAGTTCTATATGTTTATTTTCTCCTTATTTTCCATTGCCCTAGGAACTGTATCGGTAAAGATATTGCTAAGACGTATGTATGCTATTTTGTTGCCTATAGAGTCTTCTAAGATTTTTATGGTTCCCCATATTACGTTTAAGTCCTTATCCATTTTGAATTTATTTTTGTGTATGTTGTAAGTTGGTTTCATTTTTTTGCAAGTACCTGTCGAATTTTCCAAAACACCATTTATTGAAGAGACTGTCTTGACTCCATTGTATGCTCTTGCTTCCTTTCTCAAATATTAATTGAGCATAATGGCTGGGTTGATCACTGGGTTCTCTGTTCTGTTCCACTAGTCTATATGTCTCTTCTTGTGCCAGTACCAGGCAGTTTTGAGAACAGTGGCTTTGTAATATAGCTTGACATCTGGTATTGTGATTCCCTCCAACATTGTTCTTCTTTCTCAATATTGCTGCAGCTAATCAGGGTCTTTTTTTAATCCAGATGAATTTTTGGAGAGTTTGTTCTAGGTCTGTGAAATATGCTGCTGGTATTTTAATGGGGATTGCATTGCATCTATAGATTGCTTTGGGTAGTATGGGCATTTTAATGATGTGGGTTTTACCAATCCTTGAACAGAGTATATTCTTCCATTTGTTTAAGTCTTCCTCTATCTTTTTTCAGCACTCTATAATTTTCTGAGTACAGGTCCTTTACCTCCTTTGTTAAATTTTTTCCTAGGTATCTTAAATTTTTTGTTGCAATTGCAAATGGTATTGGTTTTTCAGTTTCTCTTTCTGTGAGTTCATTATTGGTGTATAAAAAATCCATAGATTTCTGGGTGTTAATTATGTATCCTGCTACATTGCCAAATTAATTTATTAAGTCTAGTCATTTTTTGATGGAGTCTTTAGGGTTTTCTATGTACAATATCATGTTATCACTATCTAATGAAAGTTTTACTTATTTTCCAATTTGGATGCCTTTTATTTCTTCTTCTTGTCTTATCACTATGGCTAGCTTTTCCAGTATTATGTCGAACAGTAGTGGTGAAAGTGAGCATCCCTGTCTTGTTCCTGTTCTTAGGGGATATGGTTTTAGTTTTTGCCCATTGAATATGATGTTGGCTGTAGGTTTGTCATAAGGTTTTTATTATATTTGGTGTAATTACTCTATTCCCATTTTTCTGAGGATTTTTATCAAGAAAGGGTGTTGGATTTTGTTAAATGCTTTTTCTGCATTAATTGATATGACTATGTGACTTTTATCTCTCAATTTGTTTATGTGATGTATCACATTTATTAATTTGCAGATATTGTACCATCCTTGGATCCCGGGGATAAATCATACTTGGTCATGATGTATGATCTTTCTGATGTAATGTTGGATCCAACATGCTAGAATTTTGTTGAGGATTTTGGCATCTATGTTTATAAGTGATATTGGCCTGTAATTCTCTTTCTTTGTAGTGTCTTTATCTGTTTGTGAGAATAGGCAGTGGTCGGCAAACTGTGGCTCGCAAGCCACATGCGGTTCTTTGGCCCCTTGAGTGTGGCTCTTCCACAAAATACCACGTGTGGGTACGCACTTACAGTGTGATTGAAACTTCATGGCCCATTGCAGAAGTCAGTATTTTGTGGAAGAGCCACACTCAAGGGGCCAAAGAACCACATGTGGCTCGTGAGCCGCACTTTGCTGACCACTGGATTAGGGTAATGGTGGCTTCATAGAAAGAGCTTGGAAGTGTGCCTTTTTGTTGAATTTTTTGGAATAGTGTGAGGAGAAATTGTGTTAGTTCTTTGAATGATTGGTAAAAAACCCCTGTGAAGCCATCTGGCCCAGGGCTTTTGTTCGCTGGAAGCTTTTTGATGACTGCTTCAATTTCCTTATCAGCCTATTGAAATTTTTAGATTCTTCCTGATTGAGTTTTGGAAGGTTGTATTTTTCTACGAATATGTCCATTTCCTCTAGGTAGTCTAGTTTGTTGGAATAGTGTTGTTTATGGTATTTTTTAACAATCCTTTGTATTTCTGTGGAGTCTGTTGTTATTTCTCCTCTTTCATTTCTGATTTTGTTTATTTGGGTCCTCTCTCTTTGCTTCTTCGGGAGCCTAGCTAGAAGTTCATCAATCTTTTTTATCCTTCAAAGAACCAGCTCTTGGTTTCATTGATCTTTTGTATTGTTTTTTTGGTCTCTATGTCATTCATTTCTGCTCTGATCTTTATTATCTTCTTCCTTCTGCTCACTCTGGACTTTTCTTGTTGCTCTCTTTCTAATTCTTTAAGTTGTAGAGTTAGATGATTTATTACCATTTTTTCATAGTTTTTGAGGTAGGCCTTCAGAGCTCTAAACTTCCCTCTCAGGACTGCTTTCACTGTGTCCCATAGGTTTTGGATTGTTGTGTTTTCATTGTCATTCGTTTCCAGGATGTTTTTAATTTCTTCCTTGATCTCTTTGGTAAACCAATCACTGTTTAATAGCATGCTATTTAGTTTCCAAGTGTTTGAATTTTTTCATTGTTTTTATTGTAGTTTATTTCTAATATTATGCCATTGTGGTCTGAGAAGATGCTTGATATGATTTCAATCTTTTTGAATTTGGGGAGACTTTGCCTGTGACCCAATATGTGGTCTATCTTTGAAAATGTCCCATGTGCACTTGAGAAGAACGTATATTCTGTGGCTTTGGGGTAAAATATTTTGAAGATGTCAATTAAATCCATTTGATCTAGTGGGTCATTTAGGATTGCTGTTTCTTTGCTGATTTTTTTTTCTAGAGGATTTATCTAGTGATGTCAGTAGGGTATTAAAATCCTCTATTATGATTTATTGTGTTGATCTCTCCCTTGATATCTTCCAGCAGTTTTTATG